CATTGAATTTGGGACAACCGGAGCTAAAGGTTGCACATGAGTGGGGCATCCAGCTGGGTCTAAAGATGGACAGAGTATTTAAAAGCAGGACCAGAAAGGGCATTCCAGATGGAACAGCAGGGGCTACCTGCAGAGGCAGGAGGGAGGGGGCAGGGAATGTGGGGTCTTATCCCCCAGGAGTAAATGACAAATGACAAGAGTACAGCCCAGCTGGGGGGCTGAGGATCTTGGACTGTGCGCCTGGCCCACTGGGGGTCTGAGCAGCCAATGCCGCAGCTGGTGCTACAGACGCAGAGACATTTGGAGGGAGATGGCAAGTTTGTCACACTCCGTCTCTTCCATCAATGTATCCAAAGGAGCTTTCCCTGGCTCAGACTCACCCCAGTGAGTGCCCTGGGTGTGTGAGAGACAGGGAGGGAGGGAGGGAGGCAGATGGGAGGGGAAGGGAGGGGGAGGGGGAGAAGGAAATGTGAGAGAGGACAGGTGCACACTCCTGGGGAAACCTGTGAGCCACCAGCTCATCAAAGGCTGCTGGGGATTTGCCCCCCACCCTCACCCCATCTTCTCCCCACGATGTCCTATTTCTAAAGCTGTCTAATTTCTCTTTTGGCAAAGCTCTTGCTGGTCAAAGTTCCTTAGAGTGTGGCTCCCACATGGGGCCGTCCTGAGCTGGACAGCTGTGGCCAGTACTCCTGTTTCACTTAGGAGATGGCACATCTTCATCTTGGACATCAGTAAGTGGAATCTTCCAGACTGTCAGCACGTGTGTTAGCATTTGGGAGCCCAGAAAGGACTTAGTGACAGTATTTCATGTTTTTCTATTAATTCAATTTAGCAAAGATTCCTTCCTTCCCTCCTTCCTCCCTCCCTCCCTTCCCCTTCCTCCCTTCCTCTTCCCTCCCTTCCTCCCCACTTCCTTCCTTCCCTCCTTTCTTCCCTTATTCCTCCCTCCATCCCTCCATTCATTCCTCTTCCTTCCTTCCTTCATTCCTTCCTTCCTTCTTCCTCCCTCCTCTCTTCCTTCCCTCCGTCCCCTTCCTTCCCTCCCTCCCTCCTGCCACAGACATCAGGCTGCATGTCATTCTTCCAGATGCCAATGATGGTCCTGGGAACAGGTATGGGAAGTCCTTGCCTGTGGGACACAGGATCCAGTGAGAACATTTGAGATCTTGACTTTGTCACTGAATCCAATGGTTTGCCCCCTTTCCCGCCATGGCTCCTGCCATCTGGAAACATGGTCCAAAGAGCTCCAAAGTCTCCAACAAAATCATACATAAAAAGGTTGTGCAGGACAGGACCTGAACAACAACAAAATCCTTAGGCAAAGCCAGAGAATCGTCCTGCGGTTGAAAGCTCCCTGCGCCCCACCCCTGGGCTCTCTTCCAAAATCTACCGCTCTCAAAGAGCCTGACATGTTCTGCTTTGCTTTAGAGTGTCCTGGGTATTTCTGTCACCCTCTGCCTTCCCACACCAGGTGGACAGCTACACACCCTGGCTCCATCAGCTGCATAACCAGGGTCCTGCCAATTCGCTTCTCCACCCCTCAGTGTGCTTCCCTGGAACGTAAGACAATGCCTTCTTCATTCAGGGGTGTGGGAAGGGGATTGTCTGAAAGGCCTAATGCATGTGCTGTGTGCTGGGAAGTCCTCTTTCCAGCTAACTTCCAGTCGTCCTCAGCTGACCTGACACTTTGATAACACACCTCACTTGCCTTATGGCCTGTCCCACCTTGGCATTAAATAGGTAGTTGTGTGCATTTTTACTTCTGCCTGTGTCTTTCATACTAGACCATCAGTCCCAGGAGTACAAGGCCCACACTGTTGTCCCAGTCACCCCAGACAGCGTCTGGCATGTTCCGTCTGTTCGGAAAACCGACAGAACAGGTATCGTTGAAGAGAGAGAAAAAGGCACGACTTAATTACTGATTGGATGCCCTCAGATATATGGTTTGTGCATCCGTTTCTGTAAAATGTGAGAAAAAAATAAGATTCTAAGTCAGGGACACAAGACAAAAATCAGACTTGGTTTTTGCCCATGGCAGCGTTGCCAACCTCATAAGTAGAAAAACGAAGTGCATCCAATAGGGATAAGTCGACCAAACAAACGCAAGCCAGGACTGATGGTGGAAAGTCCGCTGAGAAACAGCAGAGTCCATTCTATACCACCTTGGGATTGAATGCTTATGAAACACCCATCCTGCCAAACTTCCCGCAACAGAATTTTGCAAACAGTCCAGAAACCAGGAGCCTTTCTGACTAAAGGAGAGTTAAAAATCCGTGATTGACCCTCTCCCAAGGATCTCAAAACACCAAGCAGAATTGGTACTTTTCTGATGCCTTCTGTACACAAGAAGAATTCCAAGACCTTGCTTGCTGTCCTCTGACTGCCTCTCTGATGAGCAACAAAATGTTTGATTTTCTTCTAATAGATTTGTCATTTTACTTCAAGTGTCCAGTACTATTGACCCACAGAACCTCAATTCTAAAGCCATTAAAATCTAATTTTCCACACTATGCCCCCAAGAGATTGACTAACTTTCAAAGAATAATTCATTTTCTTTAAGAAAAAAAAATGCATCTCTCTATCTATATTTTATTTTTATTCTTTAAGATGAGTCAAGGGACATTGCTGTCAGCCCCTGTGTTATTACCCTCTCACTGTCTTTCTGGCAACAGAGCTTAAGTGCTCCTCTGATGAAGTAAGATCTGGTCACCGTGGAGGGAGGGCTGTGTTTATGTGGGGAACGACCACTTACTGACATGTCATAAAGGACCCCTGTCATGTCTCACCATCAGGAAAGCGGGATGGAAGGTTCAAGGTTATTTGTTTTTGGAAATAGCAGTTGTGTCAAAAACTAAGAAGAAAAGTGCTTTCGAAGGAAAGGTGTCTTCCCAAAAACTTCAGGGAGTTCAAGAATGTAAGGGTGAATCTTTTCCAAGGGTTAAACTAAGCCTCTCCATTTAAAATTCCAGGATCAGGACACCTAATGAGAGGTCATGTGAGCAGGAGTCCATAGACCCATGTGCAGAAATCTCAAATCAATGGATTTGAAGCATGTGAGTACCAATAGGTGGGGCCTGTTAAACTCACTCCTTCACAACCAAATGCAGCAGGGGATCCTCGAGCCATAAAAGGACATTAGTGGACAAATTGGGGCAACTCAACCAGGTTTCGTGTGAAGCAACTAGTATTGTATCAGTGATGGTTTCCTGCTTTGGGTAATGGCATCACCATTACAGAAGACATTAACATACACGGCAGGGGGATGAAGGGCCTAAGTCAATGCTCTGTACCACTTTTGCAACTTTTCTGTAAGTCAGAAATTATTTTACAACAAACATTTAAAAGGAATGTGTACTATATATATTCCGAAAGGTTGGAAAGCCAGAGAATGAACAACCATTGTAGTAACATGGGGGGCATGAGAGTCAGCCAGTGCCTCCTTCCAAAGCTCCTTTGGTAAGGTGTCTTCAAGCCAGTGGGAGGAATGCTAGGGTTGTAATCTGAGAGCACTGTCACATGAATGCCATGGTTTTTACATAACCACGCTGCGGCTCCCATGTGCATGCTGACCCCTGGGAAATGTCGGCGGCCTCAATGGAAGAATCTGGAAGGGAGATGTGCTGTCCATCAGTGGGCAGAGTCGTGGCCAATGAACACATGAGCCACAGGATTTCCAGAAGCATAATTGACAAGGACAAACCTCCAACCTAAGGAGGGTGTTTGGGTTGTTCCCGAAACACCGATGTCATCAAGAAGGGTGGTTTTGCAAGACCACAAAGATGATCTGAAAGGAGGCAGCACATTCAGAATCTACGTCTGGGGGTCTGGAAGGGAGGTGAAGTTAGTAGCAAACATTTGAGACAAAGGCCATGACTTTCAGAGGGCACATGTCACAAAAACCTGGTGTGCCCAGATGGGTTTGAAATGGGCCAGTGCAATCAAGGCATCGCAAATGGTCCTGGGATGACCATCAACTTCTCCCATCCCCCTAGTGGTGAGTTTTTCTCTTTCCCCTTCATTCTATGTAAAACCAGAGAAGCCTGAGTCTCCTCTGAGCTCCGCAATCTGGGAGCCCTTCACTCAGCCCACTGGTTCAGGAGGGACCCAGTGAGGGGCTACAGCGTGGGCACAGGGGCTCTGCCTCTCCCTAGCTGTGCAGCTGGGCAAGTGACCCCCCACTCTGTGTGCGTCCCCTCATCTCCAGTGTGAAGAGGAGCGACTCTGCCGTCCTTGATCGTGTGTAGGTCACACGGAATGATGCTCCAAAGCCCCCCAAGTACATGGGACCATACGTGGACCCAACATCTGGAAATGTTGGCGGTCATTACCACTTGTGACCCAACCAGCAGGGCTCAAGGTCTCCCCGCACAGCCAGCTCTGGGGCAGAGACCTGGAGCAGGAGGAAAGCCCAAGCTGAGACCTTGCTCTTCTGGGCCCAGGGAGAGCGTGGGGCAAAGGCACCGAGAGAAAACAAAGAGGCAGGGTTTGCAAAGAGAAACCCTGAGGGAACAGACAGAGACTGTTGGGATCCAGAAGCTGGAGACGCAGGTGGGGCTCCACTCAGGGAGGCTGGCTCTCCAGGCCCGGCAGCTCACTCCTCTGTCCTTCTGTCTGACCACCACACATGCCTCAGCTCCTCTGTGAGCACTGACAGCATTTACTCTGGAAATACGGAGGCCAGCGGCATTGTCAGAGACCTCTATGCCTCCTTTTCAGCCTCATTTCAGGAGGCTTGAACTAATAACACATAAAAACAAGACAACTTGGAACAAAGATGTGGAAAAGTACTTTGAAATCACTTATGAATGCTTCGGAAAAGTCATTTCGGCAAATACCCAACGCCCGTGCTCTGCAAGCACTGTCTTTATTTCAGTCATGGGAGCACGCTCCTTCGAATCTTGGCTGGCGATAGTAGAGTGTTGGCTGTGCATCTGGCACTGGGCACGGTGTTTACCCCACGAGATTCTCCCATGACAGGTGTGACTGGTATTCTCATTTCACAGATGTGAACATGGAGGTGTGGCGGGGTTAAGTAAGTTGCTCAAGGGGGCACAGCTCAAGGCTGCAGACTCCATGCTGTCCCGTGAGTCAAGACAGCAAGGAATCTGGCTGGTCCATGGCCATGTCCCTCGGCATCTATCTTCTTACACACAGAAGATGCCCAGTGAACTCCGCAAACTCTTGGACTCAATGTGCCCAGCTAGGATCCGAACTGGAGGGCTTTCGCTGCCACGATGCCATTATCAACATCCCAGTGAGTCGTGTGTTGCTTGGGTCTCGTGTGGGGACTCGGGAGGGAAGGGAAAGGGAGCCCTGGGTCCCCTGCTCTTTAGGCTGCGCGCTTGGAGATGCGCATCACGCTGAGGCTGCAGGCTTACGTCTCTGACAAAGTTGAAAATTTAAATTCTCATTAGACAGAAGAGTCTGTTCCACGCTTATTTCATCTGGGTAAGAAGGTGCTAGAGGGACCGCAATCAGACGGAATTTGCTTAAGTGTCTTCAGAGGCGCGCTGGGGGGAAGCAGCTGTAGCCGGGACCATCTCCTGCCTTCAGCTCCCTTGCTCAAGGCCATCTGTTTCCCCACAAAGACACGTTTCCCGACATCATTCTATATATACCCCTCTCTGTCGAGCTCTCTCTCACACATACACACACTCATACACACACACGCTCGCACACACAAACACAGTCTTCTCCCAAACAAAATTTGTACATGTAATCAACGTTTCCATATGGCCAAGTTCATCTGAATGTAATCGGAGCTAAGAAGCTAAATTTGGTCCAAAGAAACCCTGAGGTCCCGGCGGCGCGAGGGCACAGGTGTGCACGCACGTAACCACACCATCTCCCTGTCTCTGTTGCATCCCTAGGTCTCCACCCAATGCACAGACGTCATTACACACACACAGCAATGAAGAGGGTGCTTTACTCTCCTTTATCAGGACTGACAAGGCTTCCAGAAGAGGAGGAGCTGCTCTATCCCTTTCAGCTTGAAGGACACATCCAGGCACCTCAAGGGCAAACTGGCTTAATCAAGCCCAACCCGCCAGATACCGCCCACTTCTCACCCACCCACACTGGCTGTGGACGTCTTCTCCAGCCCCCCCACACCCACGGAATGCCACACACCTCGTGCCCTCTGGGGCCCTCCTGCCCACCCCACAGCTAAACGTCAAGCCTCATCCTTCATGGTTCGCATCTCCACACTTTCTCTGCTGTCTCTGTTCCCATCCTCAGCCTGCCGGCCAAGGTCTCGTGGGCAAGACCCCTTCCCTGCAATGCCATTCTGTACCCTCCATCCAGCACCACCAGGTAAATCCGTTTTCTGTGAACACCAATCTGAAACCACTCCTTGCACAGTGCATTCAATAACCCCCTATTTTTTTCAAAAATTTTAATGTTTATTTATTTATTTTTAATTTTTTTAACATTTATTCATTTTTGAGAGACAGAGAGAGACAGAGCATGAGCGGGGAAGGGGCAAAGAGAGAGGGAGACACAGAATCCGAAGCAGGCTCCAGGCTCTGAGCTGTCAGCACAGAGCCCGACATGGGGCTCAAACTCACGAACTGCGTGATCATGACCTGAGCTGAAGTTGGATGCTCAACCGACTGAGCCACCCAGGCACCCCTTTAACGTATATTTTTAAGAGACACAGAGAGGGAGAGACAGAGTGCAAGCGGGGGAGGGGCAGAGAGAGGGAGACACAGAATTTGAAGAAGGCTCCAGACTCTGAGCTGTCAGCACAGAGGCCAATGCAGAGCTCAAACCCACGGACTGTGAGATCATGACCTGAGCCTAACTTGGATGCTTAACTGACTGAGCCACCCAGACACCCCTCGATAACCCCCTATGACCTGCTGGACAAAGTCATCCAGTCCAGGCCCCTGTATTACAGGAGCCCCTTCTCAAATCTTCCCATCGATGAGGCTTCCAGCCCCTCCCAGTGGTGTGAACTTGCTTACACAAAAGAAGAGTCAACAAGGCAGAGTTTCGTTGTCTCTGGAGCTCTTAAAACCTGGGTTCAAGCTCAAGGCTCCCTCCACCGACTCTTTCTCTAATGCTACCTGGGTAACCTGGGGGTTTCCAGCATGCAGCCTGCCCCAATGAATGCTGCTTCCGAGCAGATGGTGGAGGGGACTGGGAAAGACTCACTCTGACCCCTGAGTGTGTGGGTGTGTAGAGGGCAGCAGCTAATGCTGTCCCAGCAGGGGATAAAGCCAGAGGACACACAGACAGTGACAATCCCACAAGGACCACCTTCTACATTTAGATTGCTCACGTGCACTTGGCTTTGCCTCTAGGAGACTCACACCCAGACCCATTCTGAACAATCAGTGATAGATGTGGGCTTGCTCACTTCTGTCCCCGGAAGCCAAACACCATTGAGAAGGGCAGCAAGAGGTCCAAGGCTCCGACCCACCAGTGGGTGTGGCATGGCCAGGAAATGCCTCAGGATCCAAGCTGTTGCCACTGCCTGGGTCCTGGACACAGACGTGAACAGCCGGACTCCCAGGCACTGCATGGGAGACACACATGCATACCTGTGCATGGGAGACATGCACACCCCCGGGGAGGCCAAGGGAGGCCCGTCCTCCTCTGCCTAGCAGACCTCATCCAAGGAGAGGTCTGACTGCTCTGCTTGCAGAATTACAGGGCGACTCTGAGTGGATGAAGACTCTGCTTAATATTTTTGGTAATGAAAACACTTTGTAGGACAAGTGCTTTTTAAGACTCAGAGATGGGGGAATCTGAGTGGCATTTTAAATGGGCTGTTGGACAAGATTCGCCACGGCCCTGGTAAATGTCACACATTTCACCAGCTGGGCGAAGAGGCATGTTAGCTATGTTTCTCCCAAACCTGATTAAAATGGAAAGTGCCTTTTGAATATTTGGTTCTGTTTTCTATTATGTCAGACATGTGGGAGAGAAACAAAGAGAACAAGTGGGGAGAGTGTGGGCAAGGGGGTCCTGCAGATGGGGGGCTGGGGGCTCTGGTTTTGGGGGTGTGCACAAAGGAAGTGAGAAATAACCCAGGAGGGGACAGCAGCTGAGGGGACAGCAGCTCTTAGAGCAGCATAAATACTTCGGAGGGGCTCAAGCTGGGAAACCCTGCCCTTCCTGTGGAGTGGAGTGGAGTGGTTGTGGCTGATTGGCCAGCCGGCCCTCTCCAGAGCAATTAGGGCCCTCGTGGGGAACCATGTTTATGTTGGAAGACGAGTTTGCTCCGCATTCAGAATGCACATGATGTCGGATGACCTCCGAGTGGCTTCTGTTCTGGTCCAGCGGCTGGATTCCCATGATGAGCTGCACGGTGGCCAGTCCCATAATGCATTAGGACAGGGCCCAGATCAACCCCGAGGTGGGGCCGTGAGGACGAAGAGGGTACTGAGCCATTGGGCCATTGGGGAATTGGGATGGCTCAGATAGAGGGGCAGGGCGCGTCTCCAGCGGTGAATAGACCAGAAATCGGTCCTACAGTCAGGCACATTTTCTGGCTTCTTCTGCACATGGAAAATAAAAGAATGTTGGTGTGTGGCCAGAATTAAGTGGGGCTCCAGGACTGCAAGTCATGGGAGCTCATTACAGCACAAAGAACAAAGCCACAAACACGGAAGGGCAGGGACTGATGTCTATTAAAAAGCTGCGGGGGTGTCTCCCGGAACCTAGGAGCAGGCACCCGTAGGGCTTTGGGAGGGAGCTTTGGGGATGGGGACGCCGTGTCCCCGTGGCTCCCGTTCCCACTCCCCCAGGCACATCTGACATCCCCCTGCTCCCTGAAGATGTCTGGCTCCCTAGGCTCAGGGTGGCACGTACACAGAACGGGTCTGAAAAATGAAGGTTCCAGACTGCCGAGGGAGGGCATGTGCTTGGTTCTGCTGGGGCCAGAGGTCCCTCACGGCCCCATCATGTGTGGTTTGAGAGGGGCTGGGCCACTTGAGGACTGTAGGGTCATCACAGGGCAGGCAGTGCCCGGGAGACGTCTTGCAAATGTTCACCGTAGGCAAACCTAAAAGGAGGCAGGGGGGCAGCTGATGGCCTCTCGGGACCTCAAGAGGGCAGAGAAAGGCCCAACCTGCACCCCAGGGTCAGACAGCAGCAGGAGAGTGCTTTTCTGGAGCCTCCATGGGGTCAGAGCCCCTCGGTCTCTTCTGGTCTCCATAACTCCTTTGCCCACATGTCTCTCCCAGACAAGCCCATCCCACAGCGTGGTTGTGCCTTTAACAAATCCACCCCACCCCCAGGACCTCCCTGGGCAGCTGGGCAGGACATAAGTCACCTGAGTCCCCCCTCTCATCACCCGACCCGGCCCCTCTGGGATCTGTGCTGCTGGCGGGCAGACTGTTTTGTCCACCAGCAGGGCAGTGTCCCTGCATGGGTGTTTGTATGAGCATGTGCGGGCCACCGCCACAAAGCGCCCCAGACCCAGAGGCCTCAATGGTAGACACGTATCCCTCCCAGTCCTGGGGGCTGGGGGTCTGTGATCAAGGTGTGCACAGGGCTGGGTCTTCCGGAGGCCTCTCCCCTTGCTGTGCAGACACCGTCCTCTCCCTCCATCCCCACACAGCCCTCCCTCTGTGTGTCTGTGTCCTGATCTCCTCTTCTTACAAGGACAGTCAGGTGGGACCAGGGCCTGCCCTATTGACCTCCTTTTCCCTTAATCATCTCTTTAAATGACGTGTCTCCAAATACAGTCGCATCATGAGGTCCTGGGGGTTAGGCCTTCAACGGGGGATTCTGAGGGGATACAACTGTCCCAGGACAGCATTCAGTGAAGAGTAACTGTGAACCGGAGGCTCATGTGGCCAGTGAGCCAAGACAGGAGGCAGTGCAGGGGAGTCCACGCTGGTCAAACGCCACACGCTTACCTGAACGCGGACGCGACTCTGATGTCCCAATCAGACATCGCGATCTGACACCCGAGGGGAGAAGCGATTCTTGGATAGTGAGTTGTGTAGTCCAGCGACCCTTCCTGAGAACGAGTTGGCTATTGCAATCAATGGCTCGCAGGTAAACAGTGGAACACCTGTGCCCCTGCCCGCACAGGTACACACGCACACATGCACATCAAATTCTAAACACGCGATCACGGTATACACGCATCACATCACAAACATACCTGTGGACATCACTGGTAATGGCGTGGTAATATCTTGTCAATGCAGATGAGCTCTGGGCTCGGCGGGTAGGTGTCCTCACAAAAGGCCTTTCCAGCAGGAGCCGTGTTGAGGTGGAAGAAGGCTCAGTGTCTCTGGACGGGTTCCTGGTTGGAGAGGAAGCTGATGTGCTCATGCCACGCTCTCTGCCACGGAGACCCTGCACTGTTTTGGGAAATCATGTGGGTCCTGCACATGGGCTCAGGCCATGCAAAAACACACGGTGTTGGGAAAATGGCACTTGTCAATATAATTGTCTTAACTGCCAACACAGAGGGATGGACGAGGCCGCCAGATGGGATTATCGAGAGTGTCCTGGGATGAGTCATAACGCCGCACATTAGAAGCTCTCTGGGATGTACCCATCGTTCCAATGCACTTTTTGGACTTCCTTTGAAGAAACTATTTTTTTTTCTGCTCTGTGTCTGTGATTTTTGATGTGGAAATTGCCCACTGCTCTTATGTCACACAAAGTGATAAAATTATTATATGCAAGCTTACGACTGGATATAATCTGGGGGATAGAAACAGGTGTGTAAGGATGTAAGAATTCTTTCTGAATCTGAAAACTGCACTTCTGAGTTTATAGCATCAACGAGTATTTTTTTTAATTTTTTTAATGTTTAATTATTTTTGAGAGATAGAGACACAAGCAGGGGAGGGGAGAGAGACAGGGAGACACAGAATCCAAAGCAGGCTCCAGGCTCTGAGCTGTCATCACAGAGCCCGACGCAGGGCTGGAACCCACAAACCATGAAATCATGACCTGACCCAAAGTCAGAGGCTCAACCAACTGAGCCACACAGGCGACCCATCAACCAGTATTTTTTAAATGGTTTTTTGAACTTAACTTAAAAATGAGTCTTCTTGTACACAATCTGAACACACATTATGAGCAATTTAATGTGAAGCTATCACCATTGTATCATTTTCTCCTGGTTTTCTGAACTGAGTCCCTCAGGCAAAGTCGCAGGCTGAATGCCTTTCTACCCCTTCGGCATCTATCTGCCTCTTGGTTGGTTCCTTTTCTTCTTGGGATAATTTGACTTTTTGAGGCAATAGGTATTAGTCAAAATATGATGCCTGTTTTCTTTGGCGGCTGTGTTCTATCTATTACTTTTTTCTTCCTCTACTGATCCCACTGGAAACACAATGGATGGAATAAGTTAATGGGTTTCTAGAAGTTTCTTCTCCAGGTTTGTGTATCTGTTCCCATAATGGGTTGTTGGCAGTTTAGGAACACATCTACTTCATTCGCAGAGGAATTAACTGAGATATTATTAAGACGAAGCTGATGTTTCAAGACTGCACAGCAGTGGAACCCACCCACCTGTAGGGGAGAGGGGAGCTGAGCCCCAGAACTACACAAAGGTAGAAAGTGGGGAGCACCCTGAAAGGGGCTTTTCAAGACTCCAAAAGTTCAGAGAACTTTGACCCTTTACCAAAAGGAAAGGGTCTAAGCAAAATGGTCTAGACAAAAGCAAAGTTGTCTAGAACTTTGACCCTTTACCAAAAGGAAAGGTGAGGGGGGTGGGGAGCTACATTTTACAATTGTCAATAATTCCTGAATTATAATTGGGCATCAAACCGATCTTTCAGGAAACAAGGTCTCTCCCGCCTTCCAAAATGAGCCTGTGTTACCTGCAGCCACACCCACAGAGCACCCACCCTCTGCACCCTGTCCTGGGGGGCACTGTCCTAGGGGACGGGCCATCCAAAACAGTGACAGTTTGGGTGAGAAGGGGGACAGTCTCAGACAGCAAAGTTCTCTTTTGGTGCCTTCCACAGCTTGGGCAGAAATCAGGAGAAGATTCTCAGGGAAACGGATAGAAAATATGGAATGTAGATTTATTTTTGAAACCAGTGACAGATGTCTGTATCAGTTTCTAATGAGAAACAGATGGCACACTCAGAATGGATATTGGAGGGAATTTTAGGGAAGAAATGATTTACAAAGGTGTGAGCAGTGTGTAGGGAAACGGCCGGGTCCTGCACTGGTAACAGCTGGTCTCTAAGCCTCAGAGACAGGCTCAGAGAACCTTCTGGATCCAGAGACACAGGGAGAGGGGCAAGGAGAAGTGTCTCCTGGGAGCTGATGTCATCGTCCAAGGGTCCCGATCTACAGGGAGCCAGTGGGTTAGATACCCCAAACCCTCTCCTGCTCTGTCTCCTATAAGTGCCTCCATTGGCCATTCCCAAGGGCCAAAGGCATGGGGTCCATAAATACAGGGTAGACTCCTGAGCACAGAGCCGGAGAGGAGAATGTGATTAGACCTCCTACTCTGGGGGTCATTTCTTCCCCGTGTCCTCTGTGGGCTTGGTTTTGTCACTCCTGGAGTGCTGTAAGGACACCAGCCTCAGTCCTATCGCTACTCTGCATATTCTCTGTGTGTCCTGTGGTTTCAATCATCAGGTGTCTCCAAAGCCAGTACCCTCAATGTTAACCACTATCCTGGGTCCACCATACTTCTAAATGCCAACCAGCACATGCGACCTGTGTGTCCCCAAGCCACCACTCAACACCACGGTATATCCGAAACTCTACCACCTACAACTCTCTGCCCAATGAGAAGCTCAAGCTTACCCTGTCCCTGACTGTCCCCATAACCCAGGAGAGTTGTCCTTTCTTTTCATTTGCTCTGCTGTGCACACACAGGTGTTTTCTCCTCTCTTTTTCTGCCACCACCGTCTGAGGGAGGTTTTTGTCATCCTGCATCCAGCCTTCCCTTAGC